GATGTCGCTGGCCGAGTGGAAGTCGGAGCACGGGTCGGTGTCCGGCCGAACGCCGTCCACCCCGCCAACCGACACCTCGTCGGCGACGCTGCCTCTGCTCGCCGAGGTCGGTGGGCTTGCTGCTGAGGATGGTGAGGTCGTCCGCCCTCCTTCCCCTCCCTCTTCTGCCCCTTCCCTCATGGCCGACCTGCGCGGGCTGACCTTGGTGTCGGCCTCCGGCGATGAGGGGAGTAGTGGGACGTTGCCTTCGGCGCCGGCCAAGGGCATCGCCGGTGGCCGACGTGACGAGCGGCAAGTCGACGTGGGAGTGAAGCCGACGTCGATAGGGGAGGAGCAGGTCGAGGAGCAGCAGCTGACAGGGGAGCAGGCAGCAGTGAAGCCGACCATGGAGCAGTCGGCAACCGGGCAGTCGGCAGGGGAGCCGACCACAGGGGAGAGGTCGACCAGGAAGTCGACCGAGGTGCAGCAGGACGACGAGGGCAGTGAAGCTGGTGACGGAGGAGGGGACGCCGGGGAGTCCACCAAGAGTGACGTGGTGGAGGTTCGACCACGCTGCCGCCAGACCGCTTCGTCCCCGCTGCCTTCACCACGGTGTACGACGTGGACGACGACGATGACCTGCTGTACGACGACGCTGAGGAGGATGAGGAGTTTCCGGAGCTCGACCCGGACATGCTGGCCGACCCCGAGCACCGCTGGGACATCTCGACCATGACGGTGAAGGAGGCTTTGGCGAGCTGGAAGGGCCCGGCGGTGAAAGCCGCCATGGAGGAGGAGATCCGCAGCCTCATCAACATGGGCACCTGGGAGCTGGTCGAACGCCCGCCGGGAGTCAACATCATGAAGAACCGGTGGGTGTTGACGACGAAGTACCACGTCGACGACACCGTCGAGCGCGAGAAGGCGAGGCTGGTCGTGAAGGGCTTCACGCAGGTGTACGGCGCCGACTACGACGAGACGTTTGCGCCGGTAGGCAGCTACGTCACCCTGAGGATCTTCCTCAGCATCGTCGCCGTCCTCAACCTCAACCTGATGCAGCTCGACATGAAGAACGCCTTCCTGCAGAGCAAGCTCGACCGGGTGCTCTACATGTCCCAACCGGACTACTTCAACGACGGAACCGGCCGGGTGTGCAAGCTGCTGAAGAGTCTGTACGGCCTGAAGCAGTCGCCGCTGTTGTGGTACTTAGCGCTCAACGACGTGCTGGTCGGCGCCGGGTGGAAGAAGAGCCAGGTCGACGAGGCTCTCTACTTCAAGGTCGGAGAGGACGGAGTGGCCTGCTGGGTGATGGTCTACGTCGACGACCTGCTCGCCGCCAGTAGCAGCACCGAGATGCTGAAGGAGCTGAAGGAGCTGCTGGAGTCCGCCTTCGAGCTGCGTGAGATCTCGCCGGTGCAGAAGTACCTCGGGCTGGAGATCGTCCGCGACAGGTCGGCGGGGAAGCTGTGGTTGCACCAGCAGGGCTACGCCGACAAGCTGCGTAGGCGCTTCATCGACGGGGAGCGGACCGGGCGCACCCCGAAGACGCCGGTCTCGGTCGACGCCTACGCCGAGCTCACCTTCGACGACGAGGAGGCACAGGAGCGACAAAAGGAGGAGTGCCGGCAGAAGGTCGGCTCGCTGCAGATCGCGGCGACGACGACAAGGCCGGACGTCGCCTTCGCATGCAGCAAGCTGGGGAGCGGCCTCACGGTGAGGAGCGACCAGCACTGGCGCGAGGTCGACCGCTGCCTCGCCTACCTCGCCAACACGCGTGACACCGCCCTGGAGTTCGGCGGTGGACCTGAGTCGCTGGAGCTGGTCGGCTACGTGGACGCCGACGACGCCGATGACAAGCAGAATAGGACGAGCACGGGCGGCTACGTGTTCGTCTACGGAGGGGCCGCAGTCTCCTGGTCGAGCCAACGCATCAAGTGCGCGACGTTGTCGTCGACCGAGTCGGAGTACGTGGCGGCCACCGAAGCCGGCAAGGAGGGACGTCGACTTCGCTTCCTTCTTGCCGAGTTCCAGCAGCTGGATGCTGGGAAGCCGACCGTCCTTCGGGTGGACAACAAGTCGGCCATCACGGTCGCCGAGGGCATGGGGTTGACGGGCAACCTCAACCACATGGCGCGGCGACAGGCCTGGCTGCAGCACATGGTGAGGCGCGGGAAGTTCTCGCTGAGGTACATCCCGACCACCGAGCAGCCGGCCGACTTCCTGACGAAGGCGCTGCACTATCCGGCCTTCAACCGGTGCTCCGTCGCCATCGGCGAGGTGCGCTTGGCCGACGTGGGTGACAAAGTTGACGACGTGCAGCAGTAGGTGCCATGCCCTCTTGCATGGGTGGTGCGGTGGACGACGTGCTGTGTGTTGGGTGCACGTCGACGAGCTATTCTCTGAGGAGTACTGCCGTGAGGGCTGGGGGCCCAAGCGTGAACGCGGCAGGGGAGTGTCAACGGGAGTTGTGTGTTGGCCCCGTCCTCGCTTGGGCGGAGCCGACTTCGTGGTCGGGTGTGAGGGGAGCAGCCGACTTGCAGCAGTGGGCGAGCTGGTTGACAAGGAGGTCGACCTGCACGGGAGCCACTGTACGGGCGCCGACTTCAGGGTGGCGCCAACTTCAGGGAGGTCGACCTGGGAAGTCGACCTACGAGGGACGTCAACTTGGTGACGTCAACCTGGGGCAGCCGACTTTGGTGGTCGGCTGACAGGACTGCTGGTCGACCTGGTGGTTGGTCGACCAGGCCTGCTGGTCGACTTGGTGGTGGTCGACCAGGCATGATGTCGACCTGGTGGTCGATCTGACCTGGTGGTCGACGGAGGTGGGGCCGACGTCGACCTCAACTCAAGACGCCGAGCAGCTGGGCGTCGAGGAGCAGGGCGTCAACTTGGTGACGCCGACTTCGGGTAGCCGACTTGGGTGGTCGGCTGACAGCTGCGCTGGTCGACATGGAGCTGGTCGACCAGGAGTGCTGGTCGACGTGGAGCTGGTCGACCAGGAGGGACGTCGACCTGGAGCTCGTCGACCAGGGGTGTGGTCGACCTGGTGAGGTCGACTTGAGGTGGTCGTCGACTTGGGAGGTCGACGAGCACATACAGGAGCAGCTGGTCGACCTGGTTGCCTGGTCGACCGGGTTACCTGGGTGACGAGGTTCTGCGGAGGAGTGGGACGGTCGCCCAGGCGAAGTTGGCGAGTCCGACCTTGGTGGTGGTATCCCGAGGTCGACGTGGCTGATCAGATGCAGACGTCAGCGCCAGGTTGACTTGATGTGTGCGCTGTGCAGGTGACGAGGCTCAGCACGCCAATCATCTGCGAGCACCTGCGAAGCTGGTGCGATGCTGTCCTGCGGGAGCAACGCTGGCGCGCCGTCAACCTGCGACGTTGGCACGCCGTCGACTTTGCACTGCTGGAGCGCGGTCGACCAAGTTGTGCTGGAACGCGGTCGACCATGTTGCGCTGGCAGTCGACCGACCTGAATGCTAGCTCTGATGTAGTCTTGCCATGCCAACTTCATTGTACCATTGTTGTCAACTTTCTCTAGTGAAACTCTTGCCAATTCTCCCTGTGAACTAGCAAGCTGTGTGAGCACTAGGAAAACGACTAAGGACCAACGAACGCAGAGATCACACGAGCACCCGTGCCTAGCCCGTACTCTAGCTCCCGTTGTAGTAGTTATCTCCGCAAGTTTGTCCAAACGGTCCATTCGGCCAACAGGCCAGTTGGTCCAACCGGTCCATAGGACCAACAGGCCAGTTGGTCCAACCGGTCCATAGGACCAACATGCCAGTTGGTCCAACCGGTCCATAGGACCAACAGGCCAGTTTGTCCAACCGGTCCATTTGGCCAACAGGCCAGTTGGTCCAACCGGTCCATAGGACCAACAGGCCAGTTGGTCCAACCGGTCCATAGGACCAACATGCTAGTTGGTCCAACCAGTCCATTCAGCCAACAGGCCAGTTGGTCCAACCGGTCCATAGGACCAACAGGCCAGTTGGTCTAATCGGTCCATAGGACCAACATGCCAGTTGGTCCAACCGGTCCATAGGACCAACAGGCCAGTTGGTCCAACCGGTCCATAGTACCAACAGGCCAGTTGGTCCAACCGGTCCATAGGACCAACACGCCAGTTGGTCCAACCGGTCCATAGGACCAACACGCCAGTTGGTCCAACCGGTCCATAGGACCAACAGGCCAGTTGGTCCAACCGGTCCATAGGACCAACACGCCAGTTGGTCCAACCTGTCCATTCGGCCAACACGCCAGTTGGTCCAACCGGTCCATAGGACAAACATGCCAGTTGGTCCAACCCGTCCATTTGGCCAACTGGCCAATTGGTCCAACCGGTCCATTTGGCCAACAGGCCAGTTTGTCCAACCGGTCCATAGGACCAATAGGCCAGTTGGTCCAACCGGTCCATAGGACCAACAGGCCTGTTGGTCCAACCGGTCCATTCGGCCAACAGGCCAGTTGGTCCAAACGGTCGATTCGGCCAACAGGCAAGTTGGTCCAACCGGTCCATAGGACCAACATGCCAGTTGGTCCAACCGGTCCATTCGGCCAACAGGTCAGTTGGTCCAACCGGTCCATAGGACCAACAGGCCAGTTCGTTCAATCGGTCCATAGGACCAACAGGCTAGTTGGTCCAACCGGTCCATAGGACCAACAGGCTGGTCCAACCGGTTCATAGGACCAACAGGCCAGTTGGTCCAACCGGTCCATAGGACCAACTGGCCTGTTGGTCCAACCTTTCCATTCGGCCAACAGGCTAGTTGGTCCAACCGGTCCATAGGACCAAAAGGCCGGTTGTCCAACCGGTCCATAGGACAAACAGGCCAGTTGGTCCAGCCGGTCCATAGGACCAACAGGCCAGTTGGTCTAACCGGTCCATTTGGCCAACAGACCAGTTGGTCCAACCGGTCCATAGGACCAAGAGGCCAGTTCGTCCAACCGGTCCATAGGACCAACACGTCAGTTGGTCCAACTGGTCCATTGGACCAACTGGCCAGTTGGTCCAACCGGTCTATAGGACAAACAGGCCAGTTGGTCCAACCGGTCCATAGGACCAACATGCCAGTTGGTCCAACCGGTCCATTCGGCCAACAGGCCAGTTGGTCCAACCGGTCCATAGGACCAACAGGCCAGTTGGTCCAACCGATCCATAGGACCAACTGGCCAGTTGGTCCAACCGGTCCATTCGGCCAACAGGCCAGTTGGTCCAACCGGTCCATAGGACCAACATGCCAGTTGGTCCAACCGGTCCATAGGACCAACCGGCCAGTTGGTCCAACCGGTCCATTCGGCCAACAGGCCAGTTGGTCCAACCGGTCCATAGGACCAACAGGCCAGTTGGTCCAACCGGTCCATAGGACCAACTGGCCAGTTGGTCCAACCCGTCCATTCGGCCAACAGGCCAGTTGGTCCAACGGGTCCATAGGACCAATAGGCCAGTTGGTCCAACCGGTCCATAGGACCAACCGGCCAGTTGGTCCAACCGGTCCATTCGGCCAACAGGCCAGTTGGTCGAACCGGTCCATAGGACAAACATGCCAGTTGGTCCAACTGGTCCATTCGGCCAACAGGTCGGTTGGTCCAACCGGTCCATAGGACCAACAGGCCAGTTGGTTCTATCGGTCCATAGGACCAACATGCAAGTTGGTCCAACCGGTCCATAGGACCAACAGGCCAGTTGGTCTAACCGGTCCATTTGGCCAACAGGCCAGTTGGTCCAACCGGTCCATAGGACCAACATGCCAGTTTGTCCAAACGGTACATTCGGCCAACAGGCCAGTTGGTCCAACCGGTCCATAGGACCAACAGGCCAGTTGTCCAACCGGTCCACAGGACCAACAGGCCAGTTGGTCCAACCGGTCCATAGGACCAACTGGCCAGTTGGTCTAACCGGTCCATTCGGCCAACAGGCCAGTTGGTCCAACCGGTCCATAGGACCAACAGGCCAGTTGTCCAACCGGTCCACAGGACCAACAGGCCAGTTGGTCCAACCGGTCCATAGGACCAACTGGCCAGTTGGTCTAACCGGTCCATTTGGCCAACAGGCCAGTTGGTCCAACCGGTCAATAGGACCAAGAGGCCAGTTGGTCCAACCGGTCCATAGGACCAACACGTCAGTTGGTCCAACTGGTCCATTGGAACAACATGCTAGTTGGTCCAACCGGTCCATAGGACAAACAGGCCAATTGGTCCAACCGGTCCATAGGACCAACAGGCTAGTTGGTCCAACCGGTCCATTCGGCCAACAGGCCAGTTGGTCCAACCGGTCCATAGGACCAACAGGCCAGTTGGTCCAACCGGTCCATGGGACCAACAGGCTAGTTGGTCCAACCGGTCCATTGGACCAACTGGCCAGTTGGTCCAACCGGTCCATAGGACCAACATGCCAGTTGGTCCAACCGGTCCATAGGACCAACATGCCAGTTGGTCCAACCGGTCCATTCGGCCAACAGGCCAGTTGGTCTGACCGGTCCATAGGACCAACAGGCCAGTTGGTCCAACCGGTCCATAGGACCAACAGGCCAGTTGGTCCAACCGGTCCATAGGACCAACTGGCCTGTTGGTCCAACCTTTCCATTCGGCCAACAGGCTAGTTGGTCCAACCGGTCCATAGGACCAAAAGGCCAGTTGTCCAACCGGTCCATAGGACAAACAGGCCAGTTGGTCCAGCCGGTCCATAGGACCGGGCTCGAGTTGTCCTCACTGGGCACTCAGACGCTTCTTGGGCTGACGACCAGGCTACTCAGCGGTCGTCTCAGGGTTACACCTTCAGCCTTGGCTCTGGTTCAGTTTCTTGGCGTTCTACTCGCTCGTCTTCAGTTCTTAGCTCCAGTTGTGAGGCTGAGATCTACGCCACAGCCATGGCTGCACAGGAGTTATGCTGGCTCACCTACCTGCTGACTGACCTGGGAGAGCGGCCTCGTTCTCCTCCAGTGCTGTACGTCGACAACAAGGCTACCATTGTCTTGTGTCAGGAGCACAGACTGGAGCACAGAACGAAGCATATCGCTCTACGCTACTTCCTCGCTCGAGAGCTGCAGCAGCGAGGTCAGCTTCGTCTTGCCTACGTGGCCACTCGGGCCAACACTGCTGATGTGTTCACCAAGGCGCTTCAGCCTTGTGATCATCAGCGTTTCTGTCCTGTTCTAGGCCTTGTGCCTACTGTGCCTCACTTGCTTACTTCTTGACTCTGTTTGTACTGTGATCTCTATATATATATACCTGCATGCTTACACTTGCTAGGTTGTGATCACTGTACCTCTTGTTATATTATCAAACTGCATGTGAACTGGTCTTGTGACCACTTGCTTGTGCTCGGAATTTGTGTGGTTTCCTTGAGATCTACCCTGAGCTTGCTGTGCTTTGCATTGACTGGTCTTGTGACCATCTGGTTGTCTCCCACTTAGCCTATGGGGGTGTGTCAAACATTATACATGTTCCTATTGTGTAGGCTATAGTGGGTTTAGCCTTAGGGGGTACAACATTGCTAGGGTTTCCTACTTGTATCACCCTGCTGCCTAGTTTCACACATCCTCGTTCATTCTTAGATTCTAACATTAGCATCAGGGCAGCACGCAGGCAGGGCAAGGCAGGGCGACGGCCAGCATGGTGGCGCACAGGCAGATCAGGGCAGGGCGGCAACCAGCAGGGCGGCACGTGGGCAGGGCAGGGCAGCGCGGTGGCGAGCGGCGCTCAGGCAGGGTGGCGCAGCGGCTAGCGGCGTGCGGGCAGGGCAGGGCGCGCGGCAGCGAGTAGCGCGCGGGCAGGGCGACGCGGCGGCGAGCGGCGCGCGGGCAGGGCGACGCGGCGGCGAGCGGCGCGCGGGCAGGGCGACGCGGCGGCGAGCGGCGCGCGGGCAGGGCAGGGCGGCGCGGCGGCGAGCGGCGCGCGGGCAGGGCAGGGCGCGCGGCGGCGAGCAGCGCGCGGGCAGAGCGGCGTGGCGCGGCGGCGAGCGGCGCGCGGGCAGGCCAGGGCGCGCAGCGGGGAGCAGCGCGCGGGCAGGGCGACGTGGCGGCGAGCGGCGCGCGGGCAGGGCGGCGCGGCGGCGAGCGGCGCGCGGGTAGGACAGGGCGACCCGGTGGCGAGCGGTGCGCGGGTAGGGCGGGGCGGGGGCGAGCGGTGCGCGGCAGGGCAGGGCGCACGGCGACGAGCAGCGCGCGGGCAAGGCAGGGCGCGCGGCAGCGAGCAGCGCGCAGGTAGGGCAGGGCGTGCGGCGGCGAGCAGCGCGCGGGCAGGGCAGGGCGCGCGGCGGCGAGCAGCGCATGGGTAGGGCGGCGCGGCACGGCGGCGAGCGGCACGCGGGCAGGGCAGGGTCGACTTGTGTGGTCGACGAGCACGTACAGCTTTCGCTCGACTTTTACCGAGCAAGTCGACGCCGACCTGTTGGTTTCCAGGTCGACCAAGTAACCAGGGCGACGAGGTTCTGCGGGACACGCGACAGTCGCCCAGGAGGTTCTGGCGAAGGCGACCTCGGGAGTGGCATCCCGAGGTCGACGTGGCTCATCAGGCGCAGACATTGGTCGACCTGCACGTGACAGTGCACGTCGGGCCAACCATCCGCGAGCACCTACGAAGGAGGCGTGAGCTGGTGCGCTGCTGTCATTTGCGGGTGCAACGCTGGACAGCCGCCTTGCTGCAGCGTTGGCACGCCGTCGACTTGGTGCGTTGGCAGACCGCCTTTCTGCAGTGCTGGAGCGGTGCGGACTTTGCAGTGCCAGAACGCGGTCGACCATGCTGTGGTGGAGGTCGACCTGCTTGCATGCTATGCAGACGTGCTCCTGATGTAGTCAGCTTTGCCAATGTTGTTGCTACCATTGTTCTGAACTTTCTCTAGTGAAACTCTTGCCGTTTTTACCTAGTGAACACGCAAGTGTTAGAGAACGCAAGGAACGCTGCGATCACTCACACAACGTGCCTTCTCCCCATAGTCTAGCTCCCGTTGTAGAGTTTATCTCCGCAGAAGGAAGCGGTGAGGAGGGAGGAGGAGAGGAAGGAAGAGGCGAGGAGAGAGGAGGAGAGGAAGGAATAGGCGAGGAAGGAGGAGGAAAGGAAGGAAGCGGCAAGGAGGGAGGAGAGGAAGGAAGCGGCGAGGAGGGAGGAGGAGAGGAAAGAAGCGGCGAAGAGGGAAGAGGAGAGGAAGGAAGTGGCGAGGAGGGAGGAGGAGAGGAAGGAAGCGGCGAGGAGGGAGGAGGAGAGGAAGGAAGAGGATTTTAGGCAGGTATGTGAGAAGAAAACGAGTGTTGTGATTGTGAAAGATGGAAAGAGAGGGGAGGAGTCGGAAGGAAAGGGGAGAAGAGGGGAGGAGAGGGATGACGAGGAGGGAACACCCCTTTCCCTTCCTTCAGGGGAGGGCGGCATGGGAAGGGCAGCGATGCAGGTTCAAGGGGCGGGCAACGCGGTTGGAGGAGGGTTGGGAACAGAGAAGAGAGCAAGAACCCACTCCGTGCCTCCAGAGGAGGGAAACAACATGGAAAGGGCAGCGATGCAGCGAAACAACAGGTGCAACGGGAAGGCAGCGCGGTTGGAGGAGGGAGGGGGGAAGAGGTGGGAGGAACTCCATCCTTACTTGGCTATACGGGCAGCATAAGAAGGATAGTGATGCCGCTTCATGGGAAGGGCAGCGATGGTGGGGGAGGGACAGCGGAGGGAGCAGCAGAACTGCGTGGTGGAAATAAGGGTAGTGTGGGGAAGGTAGTGGTGCCGGTGCAAGGGGAGGGTAACGTTGGTGGAGGAGGTAGAAAGGAGCGAGGAGAGGAGTGAGAAGTGCCAGGAGAAGAGAAGATGGAAGAGGAGGGAGATAGGGAGGGAGAGGAGGGAGAACCCTCTCCCCTCTGTCCCAGGGGGGATGTCAATGTGGGGAGTGGGGGGGGAAATGAGTGTGAGGGAGAGGAGGAAGATGTAGGAGCTCACATGCTTGCAAGAGGGGCGGAAGAGGGAAAGGCATGGAGGAGGAGGTGTTGAGAGGGAAGGGGCTGGCTGCGGGAAAAGGCACCTGAAAGGCCACTTGAGGGAGCAGAAGAGGTACCTCGATAGAAAGGTGCTTCGTTTTGTGGGGAGGAGAGACCGCCAGTTCAACCAGAAGAAACACCTGATGGCAACAGAGAAGGAGCCCCTGAGGCGGGAGACCATTCTCCTGAAGGAGGAGGAGACTCACCTAAGACAGCAGGAAGTACACCTGAAGCAACAGGAAGAACACCTGCGAAAGAAAGAGTGCTTCCTGAAGCAACAGAATGAGCAGCAATTTTTTTCTTGAAACGGAAGGATGCTCCTAAGGGAACAGAAGGAGCTGCTCCTGAGGGAACAGAATGAGCAGCAGGAGATGCACCGGAGGCAGCAGGAGGAGCACTTGAATAGACGGAATGAGCAGCAGGAGTTCTACCTGAAACAGAAAGAGATGCTCCTGAGGGAGCGGAAGGAGCAGCAAGAGATGCACCAGAGGCAGCAGGAGGAGCTCCTGGGAAAGCAGGAAGAGCTCGTGAAGGAACAGAGCGACCATCTGAACGACCAAAAAAGCCACCTGAAGCGTAAAAGGCAGCACCAGGAGGTTCAGGTGAAACACACTCGGATTCAGAAGGATCGCTGCTTTGTACGTCCTTGTGGTTTGAGAAGAGAGGTCGGGGTGAGGGATGGGGATGGAGGGAGGGTGGTGGAGGATGGAGGGAGAGGGACGGGCGTGCTGAATGTTGAGGAGAGAAGGTAAGGGGGGTGGTGAGGGATGGAGAATGGGGAAGAGGGGTAGTGAGGGAAAGAAGGTGGAGGGGGAGTAGGGGGAGGAGGGGAGGAAGGGGGCTGTGTGAAGGATATGGAGGGGAAGGGGCGTGGTGAAGATGGAGAGATTAGTTTTAGAGGATGGGGCAGAATTGTCTGAGAGTAGATCTCAGAGAGAAAACAGTTTGAGAAGAGGCGCTGGGGTGAGTGATTGGGAGGGAGGGAGGATGGTGGATGATGGAGCGAAAAGACGGGGCGTGGTGAAGGTTGACAGGGTAGGAGAACGGGGAAGAGGGGTGGTGATGGGAGGAGGAGGGGGAAGGGGAGGAGGGGGAAGGGGAGGAGGGGGAGAATGGGAGAAGGGGGAGGAGGGGGAGGAAGGGGAGTGGGTGAAGGATGAGGAGAGAAAGGGGCGTGGCGAAGATGGAGAGAGGATAGAGATGATAGTTTTAGAGGATGGGGCGGGGCAGGGGAGTGGATGTTAATAGTTGATGCTTGTTCTGAATAACAGATGCACTACCTAGAGAAGGACGCTCCCATTTCACTTCGTTTGGTACAGGAGGTTGTGCTGGAATTGATTTCTTTTTTTTCAGATCTATACCGTATCGCCCCGGATATAAGCGCAGGCCAATGTTAGGCGCATGCGCTTATACCTGGAGCAATGCGCTTATGGCCGATCCGAAATTAGAAGCGCACCCTTGTTAAAAAAAATCATTTTTTTATTATTATTGACATTACTCTAAACGCCCCACCTGTGCTTTTACATCCAGCAGCACTAATTTTTCATTAAGATTAACATTCACTTACAAGTCTAACCACTAACAGAAATGTTGTCC